GAAGTATTTGTTCTTGATCTGTGAAAAATGCAGTTGGTATTTTAATGGGGATTGCATTGAATCTATAGATTGCCTGGGAGATTATGGACATTTTAATGATGTTGATTCTACTATTCCATAAACAGTATATGTTCTTCCATCTGTTTATGTCTTTCTGTATCTCTTTTTTCACTGTCCTGTAGTTTTCTAAGTACAGGTTTTTTACCTCCTTAGTTAAGTTTATTCCTAGGTATCTTAATCATTTTGGTGCAATGGTAAATGGGATTATTTTTTAATCTCTCTGTAAGTTCACTATTGGTGTATAAAAATGCCATAGATTTCTGGGTGTTAATTTTGTATCCTGCTACATTGCTGAATTCATTTATTAATGTGTGTAACATATATTGCTGTTGTAATCCAACCCACTTCTGATTTTACTTTTTAAATAACATTTACCCAGTTGTTTTCATACAGAAAAGTATAAAGAAGAAAAAACTGCCCATCATCTCACTCTTAGAGAACCCATCTCAACATTTAAAAACAAAAGTAGTATTTTTCATGACTTAAAATTCAATCAGTATAGATAGGAACAAAATGAAGCAAATGCTTCCTTGGTTTTATTTGTTAGGTCATTTCAGATTCTACCTGAGGATAGCGCCAGATATGTCCCTAAGAAGACACCAGATTTAAGAATAAAAGAACATATGTCAAGAAGAACCTAGAAAGTGGCCATGGTGATAACAGACAACATAATGCTCCTTATAAAATCACTCCTAGATATTAAGAGAAGGTGGCAGACTTTCAGAACACCAGAAAGTGAAGACCTGTTAGATGTCAGAATAGACAGGAAAGCTTTGATGAGCATATTTGAAATTATCATAAAGATAGCAAAGAGCCTTGGCTAGTGTTGCTAAGTGGTTAGAGTGCCAGCCAGCACCCCAGAGGGTTTCGTGTTTGATTCCCAGTCAAGGGAATGTACCTGGATTGCAGGTTCGATCCCAAGCCCCAGTCAGGGCATGTATAAGCAGCAACCAATCACTGTGTCTCTCTCACATCAATGTTTCACTCTCTCCCCCTCCATCACTTTCTTCTTCTCTCTCTAAAAAAAAATCAATGGAAAAAAATATCCTCGGGTGAGGTTACCAAACGAACAAATAATGACCTTCTCTCAGTGGTGGATAACGTATGAACAAGAAAGCAGTGATTGCTTCCATCCACTTACAGGACAGAGATTACAGGGTCAGTTGGCCACATCAAAGTGAACTAAATGCACAACTTGTATGTGATCAGTTTTGAGCAATTAAATAACACTTTTATTAAAAATGATAATAGCTTTGAGCAACCTCTAAAATATTCTTTTGGTAATGAGTTTTATGATAGATACTGGCCAGACTTTCATATTATGGCATATAGGTATTAAATCAAAACTAGGATCTATATTTTCCTTCCATCGAGTAGTAGATGATAATGTGATTGTGTGTTTCTTGACCACGCCTTTAAGGTGGATCATAATTCTGTTTCATCTCTGACATTATCTCTCCACAGAGCTTGAAATTCACACCACCTTCCAGAGCTCTGAAATCACCGTGGGATCACGACTTTTTTATTCATGATGGCGTCATAGACAACACAGCCCCAGACTTCATAGCGTTCAAGTCACATTTTATTTTATCCTGGGGAAGTATTATCTCTCTCTTGGAACACATCGAGAAGTTCCTCAGGGAATATGCAATACCGGAAGTCAAAATCAAAGGGAACAGTTTGGTAGCCCTCCTTCCAGAGTTTGAGCTGAAGAATAAACTTACCAGAAATGACCTCCTCTCAGTGGTAGAGAACCCTCTCCCCATCCAAAAGATGTTAACTGTTCCTGGCCAGAGATACAAAGGGCTAGGTGGGAAGTTAAATGCTGCCAGCAAGATCCAAGCCACCTGGAAATGCTACAAAGCAAGAAAATACTTCCACGTGTTTCGCCAGCAGAAGTGGGCGTCGGGTGTGATTGCCATCGCGTGGCTCTTGCATTGCCATAAGACACGACTGATGAAGATCCTGAAGGAGTCACGTGAGAGACACCTGCAGAATTTCCGCATTCGAGCCAAGGTACACAAGGCCGCCAGCTGTTAAGGCAGACTCTTTTTCTAAACATTTCTTGCTTGAACGATTGCCATAAGTTGTCTCTTTATCTGTCCTTTCTCTCTCCAACGACCCTCCCCCTCCGCCTCCCTCACCTTCCACTCTCCTCCATGTGCGACGCACAAACCCTACGTTTGTTTGTACCATGCATCATATTTTAGTCCTCACCAGGAATCTGCAAGATCTGCTGCAATTTTTCTATAGGAAAAATGTCCCTTCACTTTGACTATGGTAGTTCTGTCAGGAAATCAATGGTGTAACTGCATTACCTTTTCTCCCTGTATATACCTTCTGGCACTTTAATTTGCTAGGGGAAAAAATCCTGTCTTGTCTACATTGCTGTCACCACTTTGTCAGAAAGTATTTAAGTTTGCAGACAGCCTTTTAATTAGTGCTCACAATTTCATTTATGTTTGCTTTCTCTCTTTTTTTCATTCATATTCTGTTAATTAAGTGAGCTGCCTCTAATCTTCCCCTGCCAGTAGCATCATGTAGCCACCTAATTAAATTAATTGGGGAAGATGTTTTAAGTATGTAATTAAATCAATTAATATAATTTATGCCTGGCTTAACTGTACAGTGGAAACACAGCTGAAGTTTGACTAGATGAATCCACTACAGCTTCCTGTCACTGATCAATGCTCTTCTTGATTTTTAGCATCTGGCAGCCAACTGGAATCGCATCAGGACCTCCAGGAGGACTATTATCCATATCCCATCATTAGGTATAACACTTTTGCCTGCAAATCTATCAGCAACCTCTATTACCCACCACATTATGGCTCCTTGATTGAGTTCAAGGAAGGCCCCTTGTTTTATTCAAATTGGTCTCGGCAGGAAAATGTTCTCGACATGATGAGAGTAATAACACAGGGCCCTCGCTCGAAACGGCGTTTAATTTGGGGATTAAGCAAATAAAGTCATTATGTGGGGGCTGCTATTCAGTGGAGAGGTGATTTGCTGTAATTCGCTTTCATCTGTATGAAATGAACTAAAAAGTTGTATTTTTCCCCCTGAAATAACAGATAATGTTTCCTATCTTCTTTAATGATAGGAGAACACAGGCTTGTGTGTGTTGTTGCTGTTATGCCAATAAGCCGGGATATTGCTTGTACACTGTTTTTAATCAAATGTGCAGTCAAAATGATAAGCTACATTCTCTGAAATTATTTAGTTCTAATTACGAGCAGATGGGATGCTTTATTTGCACCTAGGGCGCCTGAGCAAAAGGAAATGCTGTGTGAACAAGAATAATTAAGAAGTTGAATAGTGTTTTTTGCGCTTAAATAATCTGCAGTTTCATGTTAATTAGCACTAATGTAATTATTTAATTACATTTATGAATTGAGGAACTTAAAAGCTGTTGTCTACAACACGGTGGTAAAATAGGTATGCCAAAATGACATGAGAAATTTGCATTGGAAGTTCTTTTGAAACATGAACTGCTGTCAGAATGTTTGGGATTTGTTTGCTGGCTTGTTTGTTTTGTTTTGCTTTTTATTTACCTGGTGTGTTAATTTTTTTTGGTGAGGCCGAGCTGACTTGGTAGAGTTTTGACAAATAGTAAAATTCATGGAATCTTCATATTACATATTAGCTCTTTGTTGAGGCCTTTCAAGTAGAGCAATGCACTAAGTGACCTATTGTAATAGAACTCAGAATCGCAATTTATTTATGCTCCTGAGTGAGTATATTTGTTTGTATACTTATTTGTAGTATAGCACCATACACAATGTATATTATATGTATATATATATATATAACATTAAAAGCAAAAAATTTATAATATAAATTAAGATTTTATTTTAAATTAGTAAAATATTCATAATAATAAAATAATGCAAACGTTCCTAGATTCTCAAAGACTTATATTCCTAAGTATTTGTAGAAAAGTTTTAAAAATTCTTGAGTTATACTGGGCCTTTTACTTTTGGTCTTTATGACTCATAGAAAAATTAGTTTTTTTTAGGATGTGAAGCAAGACAGATCTGAATTCTATTTTAACTTGGGCTTTTGTTTTGGTGGGACTACTTTTGCACACAAAATTAGTTCACACACAGAAATTGCACTTGTAATTGATTGCAACCAGAGAGGCTAATTGCAGACCCAATTAATTGACTCCAGTCCTTAGAATAAGGTGCAAGAGCCTTCTCTTCTTCAACAAATTATGGACCTGACCTGATATTATGTGGGAAATTTTGCTCTGCATTCTCCATTTTTTTTCCCAAAACTAGAAATAGAAACAAGACCCCCACTTTGCAATGTTGACGAGCACTAAGAAAGGTATTATAGACACAATTTCCACAGACTTCTTCCCTTCTATATTCCCACCTCTGACTCTTCAAAACCCCAATGCAAATCAGCCCTGCAGAGAAGCCCGATAATTTTACTGAAGAGGTAAAATTATGAAAAGAATGGTCAGTAATCTGAACTGGATAATAAAAAAAAATAATGAAAATATCTTAAATTTTCAAAAGGGCTTGCTGACTACAAATGAAGTAGAAAAATAACCTGTTCGGAAATATTAGAAAGCATTATTCTAAATCTGATATTAAACCTAGTTTTCTTCTAGATTACACAGACTCAGTTTAAATAAATGCATAATAAATCTGAAAATCTCCCCTATTGCCGTAACTTTTGTTTGTTAACAACATAATAACCCATTTTAAAGAAAAATGGCCAGTCGTGTCTTTTCCTAGAGATACGAACAAGCTCAGATATTTTTCTCAACTAAGCATTTAAAATGCCCCATTACACTGTTTCACACAAGAGTTATACTTGGGCTTTGATAAAATAGTATTTGTTTCTACAATCTGTACTCTAGGTTTTATAAATGGCTTGTGGAAATTAAATTAATTTTGAGTAACATTAAACTGTCATCTCATACCTATCCCACAGACATAATTCTCAAACTATACCTTTAAAAAAAGGATTATGGTGTGTCTTTTTCTTATGGGCCACTTCCCCTGGGAACACTTGACGAAGATTTCAGCCAGTCACAACATGGCTACTTTGTCCTGCACCAAGGACTTGCCTGTTTAATTCACAAAAATAGAAGTGGCTGAAAGTGAAGCAATTTTTCTCTCTAAATACACGCCCCTCCCCCCCTCCCCCACCTCCCATCTATTCAATACAGTCATTCTGTTTCGAGTTTAGGCAGCTTCAATAATAAATATCTGTTGGTAGGAGTGTAAGGTCCAGGTAGGCATTTAATACAAGTTTCAGCCTTGTCCTCTTTCTCTGTTTCCATAGGAAATTTGCAATCAGTTCTGGTATAGAATTAGCCCTGGAAATTATTACATCATGCCACTAGCCAATTGGGGCTGCGCTGATTTGTTTGAACCCTAAAAATGAACTTTCAGTAGCTGATGACTGCCTAATTTATTGCAGTTGTAGGCATTTATGCAGTTTTGCACACACAGGAATAATGGCACTTTCCAAACCAAAAGGATGGCCTTTCAGGAACCTTTTTTTATTATTATTGATTTCAGAGAGGAAGTGGGGAGAGAGGGGGGAGAGAGAGAGAGAGAGAGAGAGAGAGAGAGAGAGAGAGAGAGAGAGAGAGGAAAGGAGAGAGAGACAGTGATTGGCTGCCTCCTGCGTGCCCCTTACTGGGACTGAACCTGAAACCCGGGCATATGTCCTGACTGGGAATCGAACTGTGACCTCCTGGTTCATGAGTTGACGCTCAACCACTGAGCACACCAGCCGGGCTTAGGAACATTGTGACCACCAAATATGTATCATATATTTTAAAATCTGTGGCTTGATAATACGATCATAAAGACAGTTACACATTGCGAAGTAACCCCTTTGAACGGAGGAGTGATGAAACACAATTGACATATATTTTGGGTACTATTCCTAGATGTAACAGAGAGCTTAGCTATTTTTAACCAACAGGAGTGGTGGGATCCTGTTGATTAATTGTACAAAGAAACTAATCACTTTGTAATTTTATAAGATTATAAAAAGTCATTCTTTCTAGATTATGTAGGCTGATCTCTTAATAAGATAGTTCATATTTTTATCATTTTTTATTAATGAAATATAATTATAGCAAAATAATCTACTATGGTTCATATCAGGAATAGAATACTAGGGTCTATTTTAAGTAAAATCTATCAGTCAAATAAGAAAGAACTGCAACAAAGAATTCTAATTCCTCTAGAAAAGCAGAGGTCCAAACAAAACCTGCAAGCTAATCTGCTTCCAGTTTCTTTGGCCAAGTTTTTCCCCTACTTTTAATTTAACCCCGTGCGTCTTTATTGCAGTGCATCACTTGGTGCTACACTTAAACTCAGTGGCATTTTAAAATAAGATGACAGTAAATGAGATGTGCCAAGTATGGGGCTCAGATGCCATGAGCAGGTATGTGAGGCCGCTGCCAGCCAATTACACCCCCAGTGTTGGGTTTCCTCCCCCACTTCTCTTCCTCCTTTAAAATAAAAACAAGGGATATACCAAGATGGGATTTTCTCTTTTTCTGTATGTAATCTTTTTTTTTATTGCTAAATGATTTAACGGCTAAAAGCAAGGTATATAGTTCATCTCATTCCCCCCTTTCTGCTTTATTTCAGGAAATTATCCTTAGGGCTATCACAACTAGTGATCTCCAAGGTACTCCATTCTATAAAATTACGGATCCTGCTATTGTGAAAAACAACATTTTCTGCTGTTCTATGCCGTCACAAATACCTAAAAGATAGAAAACTTACTTGTGTGCACAACTGTCCGGACCCTGAACTGAGAAAGCCACAGATGCTCCTGAGAGGGTTGCTTCCTAACTCGACTCCCTCTCTCCAGGAGATGAGAACTTGCGCTCACCTTCATTTGTGAGCAGGGCCAGGGTAGAGGAACACAGCCAAGAGTGTTAGATCTGAAATCACATTTTTACTGCGCCTCCAAGCACATTGGCACCTTTCTACCTTCTCATTTTTAAGTTGACAAGTCAAAGACAAGATACACTCTGTTCCTTTCCACCTCGGGGCTGGGAAATCAGGACTTTTAATCAGATCTTTGCAGTCTTCAACATGTATTTTGGCAAGTAGTATGGAATCCATAGTTTAGCTGTGGGGTTGCCATATTAATTCCCGAGACAGATGTACTGCCAAGATCTCCCAGACAGCATTTCCCAGAAACATCTAGGTCTTTTGGGATCAGGAACAAAGTACACTTAACTTTCACGTTTATTTATAGCCCAAATTAAAATGAAAACATATTTGTATTCATCCATGTTGTATTCATCCAAGTAAGCCAACTCAACAGTCATCCGCTGATTAGATCAGCGTTGGCCCCATGACCCTGTAATATTAAATCACCCAGTTGGTCCTGAGCTGTCTCGTGTTGTACCACGAAATACAGAAACAGCATTAAACTGGTTGTCAATTGACTAGCCCCTGGGCTTTCTAGGAAATGAATTAACATTAAGATATGCTCGCCTGGCCCTAGCCAGTTTGGCTCAGCAGATAAAGCATTGGCCCATAGACTGAAGGGTCCCGGGTTCGATTCTGGTCAAGGGCACGTACCTCGGTTGCAGGCTTGATCCCCCGCCCTGATTGGGGAGCATGCGGAAGGCACCCAATCAATGTCTGTTTTTCTCTCTCTCTGTCTCTCCCCCTCCCTTCCACTCTTTCTAAAAAATCAGTGGGAAAATATCCTCAGGTGAGGATTAACAACAAAAAGATATGCTCTCCCAGCCACAGTAGCTCAGTGGTTGGGCATC